GCAGCGGGCCCGGCCCGGGTACCTCATCCCCGCTCCAGCCACCCCCCCTCTAACGATGCTGTCTGACCCCCAGCGTCCTCGGGGTGCGCTGGGTGGGGAGCAGCGCTACGGGGCCCCCCCCTCTAATGATTCCCAGCCCCAGCATCCTCGGGGGGCCCTGGACAGGGAGCGGGGCGATGGGGTTTCCCCCTTTAATGATGTTTTCCAGCCCCCAACATCCCCGGGGTGCCCTGGATGGGGAGCGGGGCAATGGGGTCCCCCCTCGAATGATGCTGTCCCAGCCCCAGCATCCTCAGGCATGCCCTGGACAGGGAGCAGGGCGATGGGGTCCCCCCTTTAACCCTCAACATCCTCAGGGTGGCCTGGACAGGGAGTGGGGCGATGGGGTTCCCCTCTAATGATGTTCTCCAGCCCTCAACATCCCTGGGGTGCCCTGGACGGGGAGCAGGGCAATGGGGTCACCCCTCTAGTGATGCTCTCCAACTTCCCAGCGTTTCCTTTTCCCTTTTTCTCCCAGCAGTAGTTCCTGGCAAGGGTGTCAGCGGGAGCTGGCACAGCCCCGAGTGCATCTCCGTTCTGAGTCACGCCAATACCTGGGTGGCGGTTGGGTCACCCGGGCGGTGCAGGTGCTCCGATGGCCCAGGTACACTGCCCCGCCGTTAACACCCAGGAGCAGGAGCGTTGTACTTGCGCTGGGTTATTGCTCCAGATAACTGTACTGTTTGGCTGATAACAGCCTCAGAAAGTACAGGCAGTGCTGGGGCAGGAATACAGCCCGTTTCTGGGGGGGTTGTAAAAAGGAGGATGGCTTTTGCAGTGGTACGGGTTAAATTGTTCTCTTCCTGGTTCCAGATCAGTACTGTCGGGGTAAAAGGTACTTGTACAAGGGTCCTGTTTCTGGCCCAGGATAACACCTTCAGAGATGCTTGTCTGAGGTCCCGGTAAGGGCATGGCTCTGCCATGAACATCCATCCGGGCCAGCTCCGTGCTCTTACCTGGGCGCGCTGCGGGGTGAGGCAGAGGGCATGGGAAGCATGAATTCCCTTGTCACTGGTTGTGGGCCTGGCTGCCCTTTCCCTGTGCGCTTATTTAGGAGCTGAGGCTGTTGTGTCCTGCTGATGTTTCGCTTGTATCAAGCGCGTCTGAACGGTGAGAGAGGTTCACCCTTAACAACTCTGCAGCCTGAGAGCCGTGGCAAGGAAGGACTGAATACCCCCTGACACACCGGTCCGGATACAGAACGGGTGTGAGAACGCAAACCCTCTGATTTCCCTCACTCTCCCCATTGTGCTGGAGGTGGGCACGGGGAAGACCTGACGCTAAATCAATGAAGATAGATGGACTCTTAAGCCTGGCATCTTTCTCACTTTGATGCTTGTGACTAAAGGAAGATTTTTGGCTCTTTCTTTTTCCTCATAGAATCGTAGAATCATTAAGGTTGGAAAAGACCTCTAAGATCACTGAGTTCAACCATCGACCCAACACCCCCATGCCCACTAAACCATGTCCCTAAGCGCCTCATCTACACGTCTTTTAAATACCTCCAGGAATGGGGACTCCACCACTTCCCTGGGCAGCCTGGTCCAATGTTTCACCACTCTTTCAGTACAGAAATTTTTCCTCATGTCCAATCTAAACCTCCCCTGGCGCAACTTGAGGCCGCTTCCTCTCGTCCTATCGCTTGTTACTTGGGAGAAGAGACCGACCCCACCTCGCTACAACCTCCTTTCAGGGAGTTGTAGAGAGCGATGAGGTCTCCCCTCAGCCTCCTCTTCTCCAGACTAAACAGTCCCAGTTCCCTCAGCTGCTCCTCATCAGACTTGTTCTCCAGACCCTTCACCAGCTTCGTTGCCCTTCTCTGGCAGTTGCCCCCGACCTCGATTCTGCCTGATCTGTCCAGGCCACAGAAGTGAGGCTAAGCCCATTGCCAGGTGCATACATGTACATAAGCAAAGTGGGCAGTAGCCATGGGCTGAGACCTCCCAGATTCCTTTATGTCACCGAGCAGGTCATGGTGACCCGCGGATGACAGTCCCTAGGATATCTTGTGCCCTGTCCCACTGAGCCACCCACTCCAGCTACCCAGCTACCTCCCTCGGCTTCGCACACGGCATTTTCTGGGTGGCTTGAGCAGACGTAGGTATGCTGAGCAGTGCTGCAGACGGGTCTTCCCACAGAGGCAAGCGGTGGGATGCGTTGCCTCATGTCCCTGACAGATGGCAAACGTATTACCTTTTAAGACAGCCGCTAGTCACAGAGCCCAGCGCTGCTGTTTTGACACTGACTCAACCGTGAAGACACATCTCCAAGGTGACTCTGTGCTCGGGAGCGAGGATATATCGCGTAGATTTGCTTACATTCAAGGACACGTGCTCTCTCCTGTTGTTTGGATCCTGAGAAATTTTTCCCAAGCAGGGCTTGCTGATATTTTCACCCTTGTACAGTCAAATGGCGTTGCCGCTGAGGTTCCAGCGCGTGGCTCCACCAGCGGTGGGTTGTGCTGGTGTAATGAAGAACACTGTGCCTGAAGGGAGGTCTTATGTGCGGTCCGTCAGCGCAGGCTGTGGCTGGACGTTGCGTTGAATCCTGTGTTACTGCAGGCAGCTGCAGTCTCTCCCCACACCTCCTCACCCCTGCCTGTCCAAAGAGGGAGTCGCTTCAGTGGCTCGATCCAGCAGGAAAGCCACATATCAGAAAAAAAAAAAAACCCACCCTCAAACCTGAAATAATTATTCCTTTGGATCAACCAGCCAGCCAGGCAGCCGTCAGTTCTCTAATTGTGGGGAAGGGAACAAGACCTGGGGAGACCTGGGGCGGGGAGGACCTCCCTCTCAAAGCCAGCCTGCAGCGACAGTGGATTAAAGGCAGCGTCAACCCATCCTTCCCCAGACGTGCCATGGGGTTGTGTGTGTGCCTGTATTTTTCCGCTGCCGACCTGGCCGTGTGAATGCCTATAATGGGGAAACATTATAGTACCAGCTGCAGTTTTATTTAGAAGGGAGTAATGAATATTTTGTTCCAACAGGCTTTCGAAACGAACGGCGGCCATCTGGTTAAAAGTCTTGCTCTCGGCCATGTCATGATTCCCCAAAGTTGTAATCGAGCACCTCTCTGCCCTGGTCATGCCGAGCGGATTTATTTTTAGGTCTGGCTATTGAACAGGCTCCCAGTTTTCAAAGGCCGTTAGAATCCTGCTCTCGTTATTAACAGGCGCCCTGGAAGCGAGGACTCGCTTTTGCCTGGAATCGGTAAAACTTCTTGCTGGTGCTAACAAAGCTGAGGCAGATACTAATGAGGGTTTGAGGGCAGACGCTGCCTCAGACAACACTGATCCTTGAAAACCACAGAGCTGGCTGCAGAACCAATTGTGCTGCTCTTTAAAAAAAAAAAAGTAAGCTGTTGCTTCTCTTTTATTAGGTATACAGCCCCAGAGAGTCGTTTTAAAGCTCCAAAGTACCGTTTTCGCTGCCATTGGATACTCTCTGATACTTTGGGGAACAGTTTCTATTTTCTGCTGTCAAGCTGTTTGACTGCGTTGATTTTTTGTGTTACAGCAGCAACAGGTCACGGGTGAGATCTTTTTTTCCAGGTGCCTACACACAACACGCGTGTGTAATCTTACCTTCCCCAAAGAGAGACACGGGAGCTCAGACAGAGGGAGAATTTAGCCTGCTCCGTGGTAATGTTTTAAAGCTGCAGACCGGCTCCTAACCCGATTGATGGGTCCTGAGGTAACTGGATCGTGTGCTGGAAATTAGCAGGAAACCAGTTTGCCCCAGAGGCTACCCAGTCTGTATATCTATCTGTGTCCATTTTATTGGGGTAGGTGAATTAGGTGCGTGTAGCTAGATCAAAAGTTTCCTGGTGAATTCCAGTGTAAGCCCTGGTTGTACTGGAAATGACAGTCACCCCCGCGGGCTGAAGGGGCATTTCCAATAGGGGAATTCAACAACGTCTCGATTTTTTTCTCCTCTGCAGCATGGACAAGGACAGCCAGGATGTTCACCAGGTGCTGAACGAGCTCAAGAACAAGTTCCAGGAGACGAGGAAGCTGATCAGCTCCATGCCCGGCATCGGTGTGAGCCCAGAGCAGCAGCAGCAGCAGCTGCAGAACCTGCGGGAGCAGGTCCGGACCAAAAACGAACTGCTGCAGAAGTACAAGAGCCTTTGCATGTTTGAAATCCCCAAGGAGTAGGAAGGGCGCAGCTCTGCTCTCCGGGTCCGAGATACCTCCTCTTCTGGCTGAACAGGAGAGAGAAAGGTGGCAGAAGTTTACTTTTCTTTCTTTTATGCTTTTTTTGGTCGCGTTGCTCTGAAGTTGTGTCTGTGCAGATCACAGGCATGTGACACTGAACCAGAACACTGCGTGCTTCACGTGTGATGATTACAGCGGTGCGTTCACTTTGATCTGCTGTAGGACTGTACATTTATATATGCATCTCGTCTGTTTTCTCTTGGGGTGGGGTGGGATTTTTTTTTTTTTTTACGTTCGAGCAAGCAGGAGACATTATGTTTTCTCCTCGCTAAGGGTCAAAGTACCTGCTGGTTAACTTCAACAAGAAAAAGAGGGCATTTTCTGCAATTTTTTTCGCTTCTGTACTGACACAAGTGACCAGACATCGAAAGGGAGCATAAGAGGGAAGCGTGAGCTGTTTGGCCCTGCTCCTGGAAAGGGTCTCTGGGGCGCTTTCCAGTCTGTGTGTGTCGAAAGAGGAATGGTTGCTTTCAGTTACTTCTGTATTTCTCTCTTTTTCTCTCTTTTTCGACAGGTGATGGTCGTGTCTGAGATGAGTAAAGATTTAGAAATCCCAAACTGCCCCTCTTGTGTATTCACTGGGTGGATGTGGGCTGAGCAGGGGCAGGACTTTGGCAGCACAGAGGACGTGCGTAGCCTGGGCCCAGCTCCTGGGCTTACATCGCTTTTTTGGAAGCAGGGTGACTTGGGAGAGCAAAGCAGGGACTCCCAGGGGAGTGGATTTCGGTAGGCTTTGCGTCCGTAAATCTCCTTGGGCAAGCGCAGCTTGTAGGCAGTACGCTGGGCATCTTGCTCTTAAAACAGAAAAAGGGCAAACAGAATCAAAACAAAGGGCATAAATGACAAGGGCTTTTAGTTACTCCACACGTGACAGAAGTCAGGCTCAACAGGACGGGTCAGTTCCGCGTCCGAAGTGCTCCGGGGGCTTCCCACAAACACAAGCGTTTGAGCGGCTTGAACGTTTGCCAGCGGCTGATGGAAAGCTCTCAAATGTTGTATCGCATTCAGACGGATCTCGGGGCTCCCTGCCCTCTGTCCTCCTCCTGTTAGCTCTTAACGGCGGCAGATGACAACCCGGTAAGCAGCACCGCATCTCGCCGCCTGACAAAGATGGGACGGGACCTTGAATCTAACTGTTCTCTGAATTAATGCTGAAAGATGGTGCAGGTCAGTAGCAGAAGAGGTGAAAATCCAGCTAGCGAAATACAGTATCTGTTGAGAACCAGCATCCGAAGGCAGGTAGCGCTCGTGCCTTCGAAAGAAGAGAAGCGAGGTCGGTTTGGGTAGGGCTTACCTTTCCTAAACCAAAAGGGCAAGTAATTCTGCTCGTTGGGAGCTGGGATGGTTGCGACCCACCTGTAGCCTAGAGATTACTCTGTCCCCGCTGGAATACTTTACTAGTACTTTCTTTGGGAAGGTGCCAGTGTGTAAACTCTGAGTAAAGCAGAACACCGAGATAAACAAAGCACAATGTACACTCTTTTTATTACTGAAATTACCTTTCTGCCAGCCATTACGTGTCCCAGCTCAATAAATTCTTGCATCTCATGCCTGGACAGTGATTTCCCTTTTTTTGCCAGTTGCTGTTCCTGTGAAATCAGGGCATATGCGGAGCTGGAAGAAACAACGTGTTTCCAAAGAAATGTCTGGCACTTAGCACGGGAACAAGTTAACTCTGTCAACTTGAATCCAAGTTTCAAACGAAACTGGAGCGGTTTGGTTTGCAGTCTCACTCGCCCACCTTAGTTTTGTGGCTTTGATAGAATTTTGTTGCCGTTGATACGTATTAACGTAGGTTTGTTTTGCCGCTTGGGGGGGGGGAACAGGGGCTGAAAATGAACTGAAACAGAAGCTGGAGCCAGGGAGAGCTGTTCTTTGAAGAGCTTTCCCCTTTCCCTTTCACTTCCAGCAATGGTTACTGCGACTTGTTATTGGGAAGAGATTAAAAACCATCAGATGCAAAGGTGACCTTTCAAGCAAAGTACTTCCTTTACTCATATTGCAAAATAAAAACAATATCCCGGACGGGGCGCAAATGAATCACTCTCTGTTGACATCATTAAAGTGTGCTTAGTTAATGGGGGGAAAAAGCATGAAACACAATCAGCTCTTTATAACGAAGTGATGTCAGTTTGCTCGGTATTGCAGTGAACGACATGCCAATGCCCGGCTTGTCATGGGGTTGGCAGGATCGTAGCTCGGCGTTAGTGAAGTGAGGAAAGAGTCCTGGCTCGGTGACTGTTTGAGTAACTAACGCTCTGCATGGCCCCTCGTTACCCCGTGTGGCAAGAAATCGGCTGCTTGCAGAGACGGAAACCTTTGCACTGGGAGTCGGAGAAAATGGGGTAATAAAGGGATTGAGTTGAGAGGCCGCTTTTAGCGCCTCGGAGCTGGGCTCAGGTCTCGGTTTAACAGGATTTGGTTTTGCTACGGGGCTGGGCGAGGAAGCGAAAGCAAACCCACAGGTGTCATTTTAAAAAGATTTTATTAATTTGTAGAAAAAAATAAAACATCAAGTTTCACCCACGGTAGAAACACTTGAAGATTTTTTGTTCATGTCAATGACAACCAATACCTACATAAAGTGCCTATTATTTTCTCATTTAAAAAACCCTTCCCACTCCCCCCGCCCTCCCCAAATCTTGCAAATCAGACAAGACAAATGTAAACAAGAGTCAGTTTTTTGGTCCATTGGGGCTGTAACTCTGTAATGTCTTTGCAACAGCTTAGGAGTGTCTTCTGCACGTGTTTTCCAGACACAGGTGAACACACTACACAGAGCCAGAGTCCGTGCACAGCTTCTCAAGTTAAAAAAAAACATAACAAAACCCAACAAAAACCAACCCCAAAGCCCCAGGCAGGCGCTGGCAGGCCTCTGCCCTCCCTCCTGGAGGCACTGCCCGAGGCTGGGTGGTTTGGGAGGGAAAGAAAAATCAAGGTTTGTGCCCTCCCACCTGGCTGCCCGGCAGCTCACCCTTTCCCTGTCTCTCTGCCCAGAGGAGGCTGGTCCCAACGACACCCCTCTCCTGCCCTCCAAAGCCTCCCCCTTCGCATCCCTCGCTTCCAAAATGCACCCCCCCGGGGGAGGGAGGCGATGAAAGCGATCCCTCGGGAGGAGGGAGGCTGGGGAAGAGGCGACCCCCTCTCTGCCCCCTCCTGCCTGCCCAAAGTCAATTCGGAAATGACCATCTTTCCCCACTCCCTTCCTTCCTTCCTTCTTTCCTTCCCGTCGTGGGGCGAGCGGGGGCTCCTAGCTGATCACGCAGCGGTCCTTTTCTTTCCTTCCTGCCCGTCGTGGGGCGAGCGGGGGCTCCTAGCTGATCACGCAGCGGTCCTTTTCCTTGCCGTGCCCGCCGCCGATGGCTTTCTCCCGGATGTACATGAGGTCGCTGTGGACGCTGGGTCGCCGGGCGAAGGGGGCCACGACGCCGTACGCCTCCTCCGTGCTGCCCCGGCCCCCCTCTTTCAGCAGCTTTTTGCCTTTCAGCGCCTTCTTATGCAGGATGTCGCAGTACTGGACCGAGACCTTGCGGTGCAGGTCGGGGCTCATCTCGCTGGGCAGCTTGGCCATGGCGAAGAGTGCCTGGAACATCTGGTCCAGGCTGCTGTTCTTCTTGGCCGAGATCTCAAAGTAGGCGCATTTTTTGGGGTCCCCTCCCACCAGCTGCTCGATCTCCCGGGGCTGCACCTCCCGGTAAAAGTCCCGGTCGCCCTTGTTGCCGCAGATGACCAGGGGCACCTCTATGTTCTCCTTGGTTTTGTTCTTCAGGCATGACTTGGTCTCCAGGATTTGCTGCTTCAGGCGCTGCACCTCCTCAAAGGAGTCCCGGTTGTCCAGGCTGAACACGAGGATGAACACGTCTCCTGGGGACAAAGAGGGACCGTGAGATGGCTGCAGGGACGGGGACACACACAGACACCCGCTGCCTAAGCCATACAGAGACCCGGGGAGGGAAGGACCGGGCAGCACCTGGGTCTTGCATCCTCCCATCCACCCCGTGCAGGGAGCAAAGTTGCCCACTCCGTGCACACACAAAATCCCACCTCCTTCCTCCCGGGACTGGAGAAACATCCCCAAACTGGGCAAGGAAGCCTGAAATCTGGCAAGGGAATCCCCCCCCTCCCCTTCCTCCTGGTGCTCCCCAGCCAAGTACCTGTGAGGATGGAGAGGCGGCGCATGGCTGGGAAGGGGTGGTTGCCCGACGTGTCCAGGATGTCGAGCTGGTAGACCTCGCCGCGGATGCTGTAGAACTTGCGGTGGAAGTCCTCGATGGTGGGCGTGTATTGCTCCTCGAAGCGGCCAGTGAGGAAGCGCGAGACGATGGCCGTCTTGCCCACCTTGGAGGAGCCCAGGATGACCATGCGGTAGCAGTTCTTGGCGGGGATGCTCAGCTCGGCCTCGCTGGGACACATCTTCTTGATCATCGCTGCCAGTTTCATTGAAGCCGGCGAAGGGGCAGCTTGCACCGAGAGGAAGGAGGAGGAGGAGGAGGAGGAGGAAGGCAATGTCTGCCCGGCTGCTCAGCCCCTCTCCCCTCGCAGGAAAGGCCGCTGTGAGCTCTGCAC